AAAAAATGGTATATTTGATACTCATACTTACAACATGTAGATAATAAATAAGTATGTTATAATGCTTGAGGATGTTTGGAATTCACCCTTGAACAGACCACTACATAATCTCGTTCTATGTCTCTTCACATAATGTGCCCCTCAGTCTTTGTTCTCGTTCCACGGCATCGAATAAGGCCTTGAAGTTACCCGCTCCGAAACCCTGAAAGAAGTGAATTGCTCTTATCATGTGTGGAAAAGAGCTCAAATAAAGCTTACCTTGAAATTCCGCCTTTGTATGATTTCAATAAATAACGTGGGTCGATCCTGAACCGGCTTTGTGAACAACTGCAGAAGGTAGCCGTTGTCGTCAAAGTCCATCAATATGCAAAGTTCGCGTAGCTGCATTATTATTTCAGTTTGTAAAAGTTTCGGAAGAATAATGGAAAAATGCTTTATGAATACTTTAGCTATATCCTCCTTGAGATGAACCTTCGAATTCTTTAGCCGTTCCTCAAGCAACACGTAATATGAGGGAGGAACATGTAGGAATTCCACAGATCTACAATTTATGCATTTTCGCACGAAACGCTGCATGCTGAAACGAACCTTTCCCGCATTTTTATTACAGTACTTACGATATCGTCCACAAGAAGAGCAATATGCTGGATGCCGGGTCCACCATTGTATTTTACGAATTCCTAGAAGAACGGTTCGCAAATCTATAGCAAATACTATGTTGAGTACCTCTATCTGGCTCCTTCCCTTTCTTCCAGGGACTGCCTCCGCTAGGGTCATTTGCACTTTCTGGTCGCCATTAGTGATTAGCCAAGCCTTCATCGCCGAGTATTCAGAAGTGGTGATCCTATCGTCAATTGACCTAAAACAACATAGTGCCGTCTCTGGCTTCAGATTGTAGAAACAAACCAAAACCGATGCAAAGCCATACTCTGTTTATACCATTCAGCAGCATCCTCAATGGTACCGATTGGATAGTTTTGCACTACGTGATCCACAAAGACCACTGGTATGGGTTTCCTGGGGTAAACAACATCACCAGTATCCAGCAACTTTACAATGTTAGCAACAGTAAATTCACAGTGAAGTGCAAAGGGGATAGTTGTCTACTGGCTGGAAACCAGGTAGGAACAGGCCATGGTAGTCTTTGTCGTCAACAAGAGTATGAGTGATGTCACTGTCCTGAATATTGCTAAAAATCGTTTAAGCTGTGCTAGTGAGAAAATTTGCATACCTTAGCTTGCAGCTTCAGTAACATTACACTACCGTTATCGTCTTGAATAATGGTCTTTGGAAGCAAGATTTCGACTCGATTACTGGCTAATCTCTGGATTGACGCCAACTCACGTAAGGGCGTGTAGTAGTTTACAAGCAGAGTTGTTTCTGTTTCTTCTTTATCACAGCACTTTTTAATAATTTTAGAAACCAATGATTTTTAGATAGCAAAAAGGTGGGTTCTTTGGTTGCTCCTTGTTTTGGAGCAAAATTTGAACTTTACAGTGATTACTTCTTGACAAAACTGCAAAAAAAATGTCGCGAAAAATGGTCATCTGCTATAAGAGTCAGTTTTCCCGTCAAATTCTCATAACGCAAAATACTCCCTAGAAGGCAGTCATAGGACTTCTTACCTCGGCAACTGCATCGATATCATCTACTCGAAAAGCGATATCCTTGATAGCATCACCGTGAACACGTATCTGGTTAGAATTTTCTTCATTCAAGTCATCATGATTAGACTTGATAACGAATATAGCCTAAAAAGATGTTTGAGAGTAAAATTTGACAAATGTCATACAAACTTTTCCATTCCGTATCGCTATTGCTGTTGTTTTTTCATCTTTTTGAATAGCAAAACGGTTGAAGCCGAGACAGCAGCAATACCAAAAAGATGTCTAAATTGTCTTATGATGTACTTTTATCAAGAATTGCTTAGATAATGACTAATGATGCGGGAAGCTATGGTCAGTAACCTGTAATGCATTCGATACACGAAATTCCACATGGTGGAAGTCCGCTAGTCCGTCCATGTATCGTTCAGAGATGTATAGTTACTAGAAAAAAGTCTGAAAAATGTGCGCGATGGTACAGAGAACACACAAACACTATCGTGTCATGAAGCTGAGCAAAGGGCAAAGTTTTACGATTTTTCCGTTCTTATATGCCAGTTACAGAATTTTCTGAAATTTGAGACATATTCTGTCAGCAGAGCTACATACTCTTCATGCACAGCTTT